CGGTCGCTTCAAGCTTATTGAAGTTGCGACTACAAACCCTATCTTGTTCCGATGTCGCCACATTCTAGTGGCAGCACACTACGATAAATTATGATACATGACATGGTGTTTTTATATCAGTGTTGACGAGAGTTTTGCACAACACTTCTTAGCTTGGAACGCAAGACAAATTCGAACCTCAAATGTATGGTGCAGAAGTCTAAGGCAATCAGCTTCACCATAGTGGGAGAATGAAGGTATCGATTGCATGCACATACCATGCATTTCAGGGCCAAATACTCGGCGACGCGTCCTACGTCCATAATGCAAAATACCTCGTTGGTTTCATGAGGCCACCAAACGTTATTTAACGCTGGACGTCTTACTTTACTATCCACAGCTACTGCCTGAAAATGTCATGCAGACTCATTGGAAAGCATAAACTCAACTACGGCCTCCCAAAACAGCGGATATATCACACATGATGGTGTTTAGGCAAAGGGAGAGAGTTCAGGTGGTAGAATGGATTGTCGTTTGCTAAAGAATACGTTCTGCATGTGTTGGTGATAGCATGCAGGTTTATATAATCTTCAAACCTATTACGATCCTTGCAGTAGATGCGACCAACCCGTTTGACCTGCTCTAGAAGGTCCTTGAGCCCCGCGAGCATGAAAATATACTTTTGCGTGAGCGTCGAGACACTGTGTTCCTTGCGAGAGCCCAATAAAATGATCTCTGACAGAATGTCTTTCTGTTAGCCAAGCAGTTATTGATAATACACGGGGTCAGCTCACCTGCGACGATAGCCAGTCGTAAAGCTGCTTCCTGGGATCGACCGTACGATGCGTTTAAATATGGCCCAATGCATAGTATGTCTAGTTCCAGAGATAAGCTGGGAAGATGACAGATTGCTGAAACAGTTCCCAATAATGACCTTCAAGAAGGTCTAGTTTGAAGAATGTCTTGCCACACTTAATTTGTTGTCCGAAGACCATCGAAGAGTGGTCGCTTTGAAGAAGCACGAGCAGAATGTAAGTAGAGCACAGTGACGAACCCTCTCGTCCTCATTTATGCGTATTTTTCTAGTTATGAAGTAGATATACAAATACGATAAGCCTGTCGCGTCTGCCTTTTGGCCATAGAACACAATTAATTTTACTATATTGTCTCTACATTTGTTTCTCAGTACTGAACTGTCCACTGTGTGACAATCAATACAAACCATATGTTAATCTAAAAATACCTTCAAAAATGATTTTACGGTGAAGTTCTTGTCAAGGGTTGACCTGCATTTTTTTTTTGGAAAGGCTGAATTGTAAACAAAACACCAGGCAACGGAACACAGATTTCACTTCCGGATCATCACCATGACCTTATTAGTCAATGTGCACTGTCGCTGAAATACACACAGACAATCACACCATAAGCTCACATTTTAAAGAATAAACAATTGCTTTGAAATCCTTACCAATAATGCCAAAATCTAACTCTAGTATCACCACAAACTCAGACAGGAAAAAGTGATCTAAAAATAAACAGGGACTACATTCGTGGGCACTGAACCGGATTTTATTAATTGTGTACTGATGCCTAAAATTTGTCTGATCTGGATGTTTATTCTCCAGTTGGCCTTCCCAAGGTTTATTTCGCTGCGTGGAGGGAATCATCTTGGTTGCAGCACATGTCTAGTCACAAGGTACATTTGTCTGTGAAGTACTTTCATACTGTAAGGTCAGACATATGCAGGTATTTTGCCAACAAGGCAACCTTGGATTGTCAAAGATTGGCTATGGCAAAGTTTTATGACTTAATCCAGCTGTTGGCAGGATCTGTGGCCTTAGCCGTTCAGCTTGTTATGAATGCATATGATAGTAACTTCGACTTTCTGTATCTGGGTTAGTAAAAACATTTTGGTGTACCAAAGTAATGCAGCTTTGGGTTCTTCAGACAGCTTCATGATGCTTTTCATGCTTCTAGTGTGTATATTAAAATCGATATTTTTATATGTGACCTTTCTGTAGCGGATCTCACGGGATTACCAGTCGGCCGTCCGCGTATGAGCTTTTGAGTGCGTCATTATGTTGTATTCCAGTTATACTCTCCCGTATCCTTTCTAATGTAGAGTATTATTAGAAGGGGGGACTCTCGGCAGCTTCGATCCTTTCGTTTATGTGTTTTATTCTTGCTACGTAATGGTCGAGACAATTGTCCTATCAATGAGTGGCTTTCTGTCGACTGTACTAAGCCCATTTCTCCCGACTGCGTCCGTGGTGGGTTTTGGAGATGAGCTGTCATTGTCATTAGCCCTAAGAGTGTGATCGGCGGTAACAATACACTTTTTGTAGCCTTCAGAAATACTGATGCGAAGGTACATGTCTCTCAGGGCTACGCAAAGGTAGATTATATGCACAAAGCCGACCTTGGAGTGGGCATAGCTCCTCATATTCCGGCACTTATTAATTGCGCTTGGAAGAAGGTCTGTGTAAATTTTTGGGAATTTCTCAAGTTTTCTCAGGACTTACTGATGCTCGTCGAACGGCGTGTCTTTCCCGATGATGTCTGTATTTGTCTTTGCCTGTGCATCCAGAACAGCACATTCCTAAATCTATCTAGAACAGCAAAACTATGGATGTGTGTATATTAGCGAGTATTATCACTCATTGTTCACTAAACATAATGTTCAAATCCATATTTGACAGAGCTTTCCTCCTCAAGGCCAATGAACTGAAACGAAAATGGTCCCTTGATGTACAATTGACGTTACAAGTTAAAGAAATCAGACTTGCCGAATCAACATATCATAAGATTATATCCTAATATTGATTTAGAACCTTCAATAACATTCAGATACTGAAGTGACTAGATTACACGGTTCCCAAGACAAGTAGAGATCTAAAGATACCCACTGTGGGGCGACAGATGGAGCTTCCAACTACAGCAAAACTCCGAAACTTGATTGTGGAAAAAGGAGAGGCAATGACTGCTCTTTTAAATAGGTACCATCGATGTTATTGATTCTGCCCTTGTTACAGCCAGTATGAGAACTGGTGTCAGCGACGTAGGCATACTGCTCTCTTTCATTGTTGTTGGGCATGAAACAGCCGCTCCAACCCACGAAATTTCTGGGGTTGCCGGTAAGTTTATTGGTAGGCTCTCTCAGGTGAAAACCCTGGCACCAGTCTGCTGACATGCTTTTAAATAGATCTGCTCAGTTAAGAAGACATTTTGATCTCTATGGAGGATCTTGAACGAATACGAAATAGTACTTTACATCGTCATTATATCGATGCATATCTGGGACAATCTGTTAACTCTCTTACCATTTCCTCGGTTGATTTTAACAGTCAGCAGAGAGTATGTCAGTTTGCTGATGAAGTCCTTAATGCGAGGACGAAAGCTTCATATTAGCTTTCTATATTTATTGTTTATGTAACTTAGAAGTTTTAACATTTATACAGATAATACCGGGTACATATATCCGAACTTGCCAATAGACGAACCATTGTACCCTATCGGAAAACTATGCATTTGTCTGATTGTGCTAAATTTGGTATGTATTATTTGTTACGATATATATATATATATATATATATATATATATATATATATATATATATATATATATATATATATATATATATATATATATATATATATATATATAACTATAATATATATATATATATATATAACTAATTATAACATTTTTCTCTTATATATATATATATATATATATATATATATATATATATATATATATATATAACTAATATATATATATATAACTATAATATATATATATATATATATATATATATATATATATATATATATATATATATATATATATATATATATAACTAATTATAACATTTTTCTCTTAACAAAGACTATCATCCGTATATTAGCTTTCTATATTTATTGCTTCATATTAGCTTTCTATATTTATTGTTTATGTAACTTAGAAGTTTTAACATTTATACAGATAATACCGGGTACATATATCCGAACTTGCCAATAGACGAACCATTGTACCCTATCGGAAAACTATGCATTTGTCTGATTGTGCTAAATTTGGTATGTATTTTTTGTTACTATATATATATATATATATATATATATATATATATATATATATATATATATAAATATATATATATATATATATATATATATATAACTAATATATATATATATATAACTATAATATATATATATATATATATATATATATATATATATATATATAACTAATTATAACATTTTTCTCTTATATATATATATATATATATATATATATATATATATATATAACTAATAGCATATATATATATATAACTATAATATATATATATATATATATATATATATATATATATATATATATATATATATATATATATATATATATATATATATATATATATATATATATATATATATATATATATATAACTAATTATAACATTTTTCTCTTAACAAAGACTATCATCCGTATAATTATAACATAAAACAATCGAATATACTTATGTTTATCATTATGGAGATATATCATGCACATTAATATAAAACGCCTTTTTTTAAAGCTTTAATAAGTTGTAAACATGTATTACCTTGTTTACAGATGTGTTTATATTCTCTATTGTCGAGGTGGGATTTGTTTAGGTATTTGTCGGTATACGCGTATTTCCTTACACCAAGAGTGCCCGAAGACTGGCGGGGATGGGGGTTACACACATGTGTCCACATATTTGGAAGGCTTAAAACTAATAGTGTTTCCATGAAAGAGGAGTAGCAGGCGTGGCGTGTGTTGTGATGTGTTTAGATTATTAATGTAGCTTTAACAATTTTCATTCATATCGCTATGATGTCTGCAGTGTGGCAATTTATAGTGATGTCTAGCAGACATGTGGCAAGATGTCCCACCCAGTCACATTATCTTGACACCAGTCCGACCAGTCCTCTTAATGCTGAGCACCAAGCGAGGCAGCTGCAACTACCATTTTTGTAAGTCTTTGGTATGACTTGGCCGTGGTTCGAACCCGTGACCTTCCGCATTCGAGGCGGACGCTCTAACCACTAGGTCACCGGAGAGGTTCGAGCAGGCGTGGCTTCTATTTTGATCTACAATGTCTCTTGTACTGCTAAGTTACTTCATTGGCTGCATATATTTTAAAGTGTGTATGGTCAAAGAGCCGGAAATAGCGTGCATACTGCATAATACTTATATCCTCCATGGATTAACCTCGTTCGGCTACCGTAGTGTGTCTTAGAGGACTTTACTAAATAGCCTACATGTGTTGACGTACTGTAAAGCACCAAATCATTCTATTTTGCATCCATACAAAATCCTTAAGACTCAGGAGAGCATTGCAAAATTTTATGAAAACGTCTCCTTCTCATTAGCATAGTTTTGTTTCTATCAAGGGTGCAACAAGTTTTAACAACATTTTTTGAGTTATTTCGAAGAAACGGTTACACAGAGTTGAAGAATTATAAAGCACCCGAGTGAACAAAACTCACTAACGGGGATATAAACGACATGTATGTATGTATGTATGTATGTATGTATGTATGTATGTATGTATGTATGTATGTATGTATGTATGTATGTATGTATGTATGTATGTATGTATGTATGTATGTATGTATGTATGTATGTATGTATGTATGTATGTATGTATGTATGTATGTATGTATGTATGTATGTATGTATGTATGTATGTATGTATGTCTAATTTCATTATTACATACACTAAAGTACCATCGTTTACAATTACGTGCGCATATTTCTAGTTTCTTACGGTATTAAATAACCGTAAATCATACATTTGTATGCATAGGCAATTAAATGACATTTACAATATACATAATGTAGCTCTTTACCTTCTTTCTATCCATCTAAAATACAAATGCCTGCTCGGGATTCTTGGAACTTCTCACTCTTTTGATGCATACAAAAAGGGACATCAGCATTTTTGTTCGACGGGTCGGCGAAAAAACCGAATTTAATAAAACACATGAGTACGTCTAGTTTAATATAACGGATGAGTACGTCGAGTTTAATATAACGCATGAGTACGTCGAGTTTAATATAACACATGAGAACGTCGAGTTTATTATAACGCATGAGTACGTCGAGTTTAAAATAACGCATGAGTACGTCGAGCTTAATATAACGCATGAATACGTCGAATTTAATATAACGCATGAGAATGTCGAGTTTAATATAACGCATGAGAACGTCGAGTTTAATATAACGCATGAGTACGTCGAGTTTAATATAACGCATGAGTACGTCGAGTTTAATATAACGCATGAGTACGTCGAGTTTAATATAACGCATGAGTACGTCTAGTTTAATATAACGGATGAGTACGTCGAGTTTTATATAACGCATGAGAACGTCAAGTTTAATATAACACATGAGTACGTCAAGTTAATATAACGCATGAGTACGTCGAGTTTAATATTACGCATGAGTACGTCGAGTTTAATATAACGCATGAGTACGTCGAGGTCGCCATGCCTCAGCATATTCACACTCCGTATCAAACTGGTTTCAAACTCGGGACGAAACAAGAATGGCTTTCGTTTCATATTTATTGAATTCTCCCGATTTTACGCATTCCGAATAAGTTAGGTATACCGTTGGAATCGAAGTCATGGCAAATAATATTTATAAAGGCTGAGTGTAAAGATTCGACTCGTGGACTACGATGAAAACGGTTAAATGATTCCCTTTTGGGTAAACATCCATATCGAACTCTGGATTAATAATGCAAAATCAAATGAGCATGTAAAAAATTTATATACATGTAGGATTAGATGAGTTTGTAATACATTTAAATTCATGTAAGATTAAATGAGTGTGTAATAAATTTAAATACGTCCAAATGGTATTTTTCTAAACTAATGAAATCATATAAGCATAACCTTTTCTCGTTGTCTGTTAAGGACACACTGTACTAATTATATGGAAGAACTGTGAACCAGTCTAGAAATGGGTGAAGAAATAATAGAGTATATACGGGTTTGGTGGTCCATAATCGGTTAATAATGAAAAGTAAAATTTTACTAAAAATATTTTTTGAAAGCTTATCCTATGTGTAATAAAAAAAATATATAGACAAATTTCTATTGATGCAGTTTTAGTCTTTTTAAAGACTTGACTTAGGATTACTCAATAATGAAAGTAGCGCTTGATTCGCTTGGTGCAGAATCAATAACATGTGCTTCATGCACATGTAGGTCAAAAAACTGCCGCGGCTCATATGGTGTTCTCCACACAGAAGCTTGCACCAAGGATAGTTGTGCATGGAGAAATATAGGTTTGATCATCAGTACCCAGAAATTTTAAGTTATTGAATTTTAAATATGATGGTGTTTCCATACGTTTACTATGTGAGTTGACTTAGTACCGTGACTCCTTAAAGCTCAAACATCCTGGCGAAACAGTTAGACTGCTTCGCCACACCGTTTCTACCGTTTTCTTTCACCGAATATAAGTGTAAGCGTTCGAGTTACGATCCAATGATCATTATTACCATTATTTAACCCTTATTTACTCGAGTCATTACCCTGCGCGCCAGCGACGCATTACGTAGAAATGTCCTGTCAAACCGACAACATTAAAGCCTGACGATGACGGGTAAGAGATTTGCATCAGACACATCTGTCACGATTATTGATCTGTTTGATGAGGTGCTAGTAACAGTTATTCATTCGTAGGTTCAGATGTGAAAGGTCATGTCACAAAAAAGTAAAGAAACCAGAACAAAGTGATCAATCGTTATAGGTACATTTGAAAACACTACAAAATCTTAAGTCCTATGTTGGTGATATAGCTGTGATGGAATGGACGCCGCAGGATATTTTTGCAGGGAGGGGGTCAGTCAGTCACGGTCTGGCGAGTAGCTCAGAAAGCAATCTGTAGCTAAAGCTAATATTTACTAAGCCTTTTGAACAGAATCTTGAGACATATTTTCAGCTTCATTTCCACGATTAAACGTATACGAATATATATATATATATATATATATATATATATATATATATATATATATATATATATATATATATATATATATATATATATATATAGTATGGATTCCAGAGGTCATGTGACACCCCTTGACATGCTAGGAGTGTCCATGTATGCTGTTGTTTGTTTTATAATTATGCTATCCTTAAATGGTTCGTTATCGATGTCTTAGGTAAGGTCGACTTCCGAGTTATATCCCGGAGTGAGTTAATATAGAAATATGACGTCACTGGATTGAAAAATGGAGATCTGAGTGGAGATAAAGAATAGAAAACAAGAGCCCCGTAATCATAATATAACAATTTAATCAATTAGATTAATAAAATAAAATTGTACAAGACCAACTGTAAGAAATTGGAAAATATATTAATTCAAAGTTGGTAAGGCGTGGAGGGAGATATGATACAGTACCCCACCTATTAAGGTACTTTGTTACAGTACCCCCACCTTGTTAGGGTACTTTGTTACAGTACCCCACCTGTTATGGTACTTTGGTTATCGTTATCTATGAGATGATCGAACACAGTGTATTTGTTCGGATCGAGAGGTTAATAACATAAAATATTAAATTAATTGATGGAATAACACAAATCTGAGCAAGGATATATAATAGAATAACACGAACCCCCATGTGTAGATGTTAACAATTTAATCAATTACATAAGCAACATTAAATTTAACATGGCACTTGAATGATACACTTTCTCTTAGAATTATAATATTCATGCAAAATGCAATTAGCCATTTTGTTATACTGATAAAACAAATTTCATGATATTATCGAGTAAAATATATAGTCGATCTCAAATTGCCGGTATGTCATCATTGTTCCCGGTCCTTTCCAAGTCATTTTCCTGACAGGTAAGATTTGCTTCTCTCTCTCTCTCTCTCTCTCTCTCTCTCTCTCTCTCTCTCTCTCTCTCTCTCTCTCTCTCTCTCTCTCTCTCTCTCTCTCTCTCTCTCTCTCTCTCTCTCTCGGACGATTCTGAGCCTCTCAGACTACAATGCCGGCAGAAAATATCTATTCACTGTGGAATCTTTCTATCCAACGTTCTGACAGGCTGAGACGTGGAAGCAATTTTCCTAATAAATAAAATAAATGCAGTCTAATGTTGTGCTCTACGTGATTCATGAAACGAACTAACGTTCCATCTCTTGTCCCGTGTATATGTGTTGATATACCACCTCTTCAAAAGATATTAAAAAGTATATACACTTAATTTATTCCAGTTATACTTGCAGTCGCCATAACTAATTGATCGATAGCAGTCTTCTCTCGCCTAATATAAAATAGGACTCTGCATTGTGAACTATTAATCACTATGGTGACTAATATGAGACACATGCATACACACGTACGTCCCCATTGTTGCTCCAAGACTATTACGATCAATTCATAGGTTAAGAGTATTCACATTTTGGTCTTACAAATTAATTAAACAAAGTTTATTTATTTCTTAAATATATTTTTTGCCAACTAACATTTCATTGGCATACATACCATATAAATCTGATAATAATCATTTCCTAGCATACACGATTCATCTCACTTATAAACAAATAAATTCAAACAATTATATTAAGACTCGTATTAAAGAAAATAACATAAAATTAAGAAACCGTGCCCTGATCTCTTTTTCGGTTTTACAAAATTGTTTCTGTGCACTTTTGCAGAGACGTACCCCTTTTCACTTTTACTTACATCTCTCAAACACTTCCATCCATACGTTTCTTTAAACTGTTTTTTTTTAACGCGAGAATTCTTGCTATATTCATCTCAGATCTAATAAATATTCACTTTTTAATCTTTCAGATGACACCCAATAAGCAAGAGCTTTCTCGTTTTTGCAAAAAGCAACTAAGAAGCGAAATTCTGCCACTTTACAACTTGTCTGTTCCCGTGAATTTGATTGGTGTATGATATACTTAATCGGTTAATCAAATAATCATTGTTTTGAATTTGATCATTAATTAATGAAATGAATACTTTAAAGCGATAAAAAATATTCCTTTTTCCTCCTAATTTCAGCATAATTTTACCATAAATATTTTAA